TTTAACCCAGGTTAGCTAAAACTGCTTAGCTAATCTGAGTTAAGAACACACCTTTTATTTGCTGTGTCGACATACCCTTACTTAATGGTTTTGTGGAGTATTTACTTAAATGATGAATTATTGCTGATCACATCTTCTATATGTAGAATGAACAAAGATGAATGTAGGAAAAGAGAAGTCTCGTCATTTAAAAAAAAAATTCCTTATAGAAACAATTATTTTGGTCAAAACATTATTGGTAAACAAGTCCAATTATTATAACATATTAGCTATTGATAGTATAGCTAAGAATGTTATCAGTAGATGTCAATAATTGTTTATAAGTGTTTACACTGGGTATAGGAATTATTCATAGATGATGATAAAGCTGAATGTTCTCTCTCTTTTTTTTTTTTTTCTAAAAGGAGATCAAGTTCACAAGGCAATAGTTAACAAAGATTAAAAAATACAGCTTACATCTCCTGGCACAATGAGATATCAGTCAATATAATTTCAGTAAGATATCAGTTCTGCTATTACAGTTCATATCTGGTAAAGTAATAATAGATGGGAAAATGTAGTCAGGGTAGGTTAGAAACTGAATCCAACAATGTGTACCTTCACTTACAAGCATTGATGATAACTTGACTTTTACTACTGAAGGACCTTGAAATTAAAGTGATTTTGATAAATACTTGTGTTTGAAAATACATATAAGCAATAATATCATTGCTCATCTGCTTAGCAAGGTATTAATCTACTTCTTGAGTAGACAAACTACAAGTCCAAAGGTAAACAGATTGCTTCATTATGTTTATATTATCACACAGCTATAAGTAGATCTGTGTGAAACACTCACTGCTGTTTTTCCATACACAAAAGCAAACATGCTTACAGTTTGAATTTATTTATTTTATAATAAAGAAACAAGACTTGGTCTTGTTTGGCCTGGAAAATTTTGTTTCCATTGGTCAGCACTGGTGCAGTGGCACTATTTTTAGTAACAGTGTCATTGCTAGTATTGACAGGAGAAAGGCACAAAATGTCCTGAGTTCAGTCAGCGCTATATCTTTCACTGTTATTAGCACCTGTGCTAGAAAAGAAGTGCAACACTGTCTAATATAGACGTATGTTGTGTGTCTGGCTCCCCTCGGCAACAGTCTGCCCTGGACTGAGTATTAAATGGCTGCCAAACTCTATTTCCAGGAAAAGTGCTCAGAAATGTAAAGCAGCCCTTTGGCTGGGAGGGATCTGACTCTGAGTGGTTTCCACCTGGCTCCCAAATATCATCTACATTTGGAGAACTCTCAACTGCATTTCTATGGCTATAGCTTGCTCTAGGCAGTCCTCCAGGACTAGCCTTAAAGATTCCCCCTTGAGTGTCGCTCCCAGCTGTCATGGCCACAGAGATACGGTGAGAGCAATGCCAGGCCGTGCCATGTAATGCATCACTCTTTGACTGTGTGTAGTTTGGGACTGTGCCGTAGGTGGGAGAGAAGCTCGGGGATGGGAAGAGGTAGAGTGTGGATGGGGAAAGTGGAAGACAGAGAGAGAGAACAAGACAGAAAGGTGGAGGGGAATCTTTAAGTGGGGGCTCTAGATGGTGCAGGCAAGGGATTTAAAAGGGGGACTTGGAGAAAACGTGACGGGAGTCAGTGTGGGGTGGTGAGTTGGGAAATCCAGGGAGAGGGAAAGGAGCGGAAACTTGAGGGGGTAAAGGATAGATTTGACAAGGGGTGGGAGATGAGGAACTGAAGAATTTGTGAGAGGATAACTTTTGTAAACGAGGTAATGTATATATTGATTATTCAAATTAGGACATTGTATCATTTGCATAAAACCTCCAACTTTCTGTACCCACAGGCCTCGGAGATACAGTGCATAAAAAACACACAGCGACAGTGTTCTCAACACAGCCACCAAAGCACCACCCCGGAGACCTGCTTTCAGGCTCTTTTGTTGAACCTGTGCACATCAGCTCAAGATTCAGCAGTCAGACAGTATGGGCCTCTTTCCACTCCTCTCAAGGAACAGCAAAATGGCTGTTCACGCTGCCAGCGGCAGGCTGTACTGAGGTAAGGCTGATATGTAACCATTGGCCTGATTCATTATTTTATCTCGAAGTTAAAAGAAACCTATATTTCCTCACTTTCTCCTCCTGTGGTCCTCCTCCATTCCCATTCATTATCTTTGTTCCCTGCATCGGGAACTGTCTGCTTCCATCTTGAAATAAGGTGACTTAAAATGGGACGCCGTAGAACGTGGTCTACCTGGGCAACACACTGATAACCCGATTGCCTTGGCTTATACAGTCTGCTGAGGCAGAGAGCTATAGTCCTGGGTACTGATCTCATGTCACTTCAGTGCCCTCACCTGCCTCTGGCAAACCAAGATCTGAGAGCTGCGGGGTGTCCCTACCACGGAGCGAGGCAAAGGTGTAGTCCTGTGCTATGTTCTTTGTCTTCCATTTTATAAAGAGAGTTTGATCCAAAACCAGAGTACAGCAGAGTAAACGCTTCCAGGGCAAGCTCTCAGATTAACTCTGAGCATGCACCATTTTGTGCTGACAATCAGCATAGATCTCAGGGAGGATCTTATTGGTAACACTATATACTCTTCTCTTTGAATTTCAAAGCAAATCAAAAGAGAAAGGCAAGAGAGACTGAAATCACCCCCTGCCATGCTCTGACTGCCCGCCACCATCCATATTAGGCCAAGAAACCATCAACCAAGAAATAATCTACTGTCCACATCTGCCGAGAAAGCATTTGCTCTAGGGTAAATAAACTCCCAAAGCAGAGGACTCAGTCTACCACAGAGGTAGAAACTCTATTAAGTGATACGGAAATCAGAAATTTTATCCAATTCCCACCTTTTTCTTTTGCTAACAATATTATTTTAAAATAAATGTAATAATACGGTATGTAATATTACTGGTTGAACATAAAGGGAGGAAAAATACAGTTCTGTAAAAATACCATGAAAATTCATCACCTCAAATGCAAATGCCATCATTAGCATGATGATGAAGGCAAACTAAAACACTGGAAAAATTTACTTACCCCAGGCAAGTGGGAGAATTGAACTTTGTAAGGCTGCAAATACTGTATTAGCTAAGTGCTATAATATACTTGCCAAAACTTTCAAAAATGGCTCTTTAAAGTTTAAGTATCAAAACCTAAATCTAAGCAGCAAAATACACATTCGGGTTGATTTTTCAGGGGGGCGGAGTAGCTGCATGGTCTTCCGTTCAAACTACTCTCACCAAGTTTTCTAATGACCTCTTCCTGGACATATCTCAAGGCCTGTACTCTATCCACATCATCCTAGGTCTTTCCAGTGGCGGAGTTAATAGGTTCCAGGGGGTAACTGCCCCCCTGGCAGCCTTTAGGTGTATGGATGGCACCTTTTGGAGGCTGGAGAGTGAGCCTGCCCTGCATTCACTTGGCAGCAGTATCTCCTGTCCTGCGGGCTGGGCCTAGCTCCCCGCTCTGGGCATTGCAACGTGGTGCATGAGGTCACTTTGGCCTGGCCACCCCTCAGTCATGACGAAGGGACAGCCAGGCCAGATCTGAGAGATACTGTGACCTCGTGTGCCAGGTTTCAATGTGTGGAGAGGGGAGCTGGGCCCAGGCTTGTGTGCATTGGAGCCCCGCATGCCGGGTGAGTGCGGGGTGGTCTCGCTCTCCAGCCCATGACCAATGACCCATTGCAAAACCTGGCTCCGCCCCTGGATCTCTATGCTGATTTTACATTGTCACTCGTAGAAATGTAGGGTTGGAAGGGACCTCGAGAGGGCATCTAGTCCATCCCCCTGTGCTGAGGCATGGCCAAGTAAAAGTAAGTCAACCCTGACAGGTGTTTGTCCAGCCTGTTCTTAAAAATCAAACTTTCCTCAGTGTCTTTTCTTCTCCTTTGACCTTCATAACTCTCCTCTTACCTCTCTGACAGTTTCTTCAGCATCTCTTTTAGTGGGTCCTCCTCTTTCCCATTGTTTGTGAGATTCCCACATGGCTCTGTCCTTGGCAGCCTCCTTTTCTCCCTTTACACCTTCTCTCTGGTTTATTCTCAGCCATTCTCATTATTGCAACTGCCGCTGGCGATTTGCAAATCTTCCTATACATCACAGGTTGTCCCATCATCAGCTTAACTGCAACAGGGTCAGACTCTTTGGGGCTGATTCTCAGTTACCTCCCGAAGGCCAGGAAGGAAGTGAGGAGCAAAAGTGGTTTTAAGCCATCGTTGTGCTCCCCATTTTCTGGGACTGTGCAGGGACCTGTTTGGCTCCTGATGTAAATTAAATGAGACTCAGGCCTGCTTTACGTTCTGCTTCCGCTGCTCTCTTATTCGCCCAGTGCAGTCCACTCTGGCCGTGCCCTCTTCATCAGGGCAGGGACTAGGGCCAGTGGAGAACCTTATGTTGCAAGTGAGGCTCTGAGCACAGGGGGGAAAAAGGGGTGTAGTGTGAGAATCAGGCCCCTTATCTTTCCTCCCAAATGCTCTCCATTCTCTATCACTGCTAACAAACCTATTACTAAGCCTGTGTGATGGAGGGTCACCTTTGATTCCTCCCCTCTCAAGCCCTCACTGTTAAAATCCTGGTGCTTCTTCACTAATGCTACAGACTCCAGCAAAGTACCTTTATTTCCATATTTAGAAGCTGTATTGTGTTACTGTATTATCCTTTATTTCTCTTGGAGCCCACGGTGTGTGAGGTGTTTTCCAAATGGAGAAGAAGGCACGCTGACTGCCTTGAGGAACTGTGCAGTGTGAAGGCAGACTAGGGTGACCAGATGTCCCGATTTTATAGGGACAGTCCCAATTTTTGGGACTTTTTCTTATATAGGCTCCTATTACCCCCCACCCCGTCTCGATTTTTCACATTTGCTGTCTGGTCACTCTAAGGCAGACCTGTGGGAAGACTGCGAGTAAGGACAAAAGGAGTAATATCCACAAGCAAGCAAGAGCTGTCATAGGTAATGAAAGCTCCATTTTACATAAAATAAGCATGTAAATATTTTCATTGCTTAATCAGCTGTTAGGAGGTGATTTAAACATATTATGGGAACAAATAAGTCTCTGACTTCCAAGGTAATCTCACATAAAGTTGTATAATATTCAGTTGTACAAGGAGTCTTATCGTTCATGTTAAATGTAGTCCCTTGGTTTGCTCTGCAATCACATGCTTTATATTGAAATAATTCTTTGACGGGAGGATTTCAAAATGAACAACACTGGAATCAGCTAAGAACCTAATCTTGAAACAAAAGCAGTGAAGTTAACTCTTTAAAAAAAAATAATAAAGGTCCCTAACCCCGCTTACTCACCATTACATGATTTGAGTGATGTTACAGCCCTTGTTTGTGAAGACAGTCATTTGTCATTCAGAGAGGTGCCCTTTAGCTTACTTTTCAACAGTCTGTTCAAAAAATAAAGCACAGAGCTGTGCACTGATCATTTTCTGCTACTTCTCAGAATGGCACAAGCTTGTATTCCAAAGAGAAGGATGTGATCAGCTCTGGAGACTTTTTTTTTTTATTAGCTCCTAAAAAACAGGATCACAGTAGCAGGTGGAGGCTTTTTGCTCTTTCCTTCAGCATTGTCATACGGGCAAGGATCCCTATCTAATCAATAACCAAAGTTTCTCAGAATCCCTGGGATTCAGGTGGGATCAGACAATAGTCCCCTGCCGAACTGATCTCTTGTTCAATCATGAGCAAAAAGGCAAATGAATTAGTTCTCTCTGTCTATCAAAGGAATAGAGATAAAGAGTTAAGTGTGGAGAGGGAGGGAGAGAATTATAGTATTATATGTGCTAAGGATTAAAGAACAGCTATTGTAAATTGACAGACTATCAGCCACCAGCAGCTGGCTGGAGGCGCACTTTGGCCTATAAATAACAGGAAAGAGCTGTTCGCAGCCCAGTCAGAGAGGGGACCACAAGAGCAACACCAGCTGTGCAGGGGATATACAGATTGTTTAAGTGCAGCAGACATGGATGTGATCTTTGGTAGAAATAAAGAGGAGCACCCAGAACCTATAAAAGCAGAGGTGAAAGGTAAGGACAATCTGTTCCAAACTGGGTGGGTATTTTTGTGTTTTCAAATGAGTTAATAATCTGGCACTTGTTTCCCCAAGACAACACTGAGAAGGGGAATTGCTGGGTCTAATGAAAGGGAGAATATGAGAGAGAGATGAATGGCTGTTTAGAAGATTGAGATCAGATCTTATTTCTACCCCCTAATTGCAGGACTTTTCTCACTTTATGGACATTTTGGGTGTACATTTCCGGGTGTACATTTCCTGCAAGTAAGTTTGAAAAGGAGTCACTGAAACTGGTGGTTGCCGGCAAAGTCAGGTGGATTCAGATCTGGTGCTACCCCAATTCCCTCCCTTTCTCTTTGTCCTTTCAGTTTCTCCCTCTTTCCGTAGTCAGTCACTAGCCTAGTCACTTTCTTCATGTTCAGTTCAGAGGAGTGGCTGACATTGTCATTTTCACTTCCTGGAGACGGAGAGAGGGACTGTAACTCTTTGTAGAGCTGTTTCTAAAGACAAATAGAAAGGCAGACATAACTAATGCCAAGTGGCTTTATTACAAAGAGGGCAGAACAAGCCAGAGAAAAAGGAACGGTTCTCCTGAGTCAGGATAATTTAAAGTCATATGATTTAAGTTGGTGATTTAATGAAAATCATTTTTTTTAAATGCATTTTGGGTGAAGTCATTTCAGTAGATACTGTGACCATGGTTAGTATTTTTACCTTGATTTGATTGCCACATTTTATTTCATTCTAAAGAGTTTTGTGATGCAGCGAGATAAAGAATGATTTATAAAGAGTGGTTGTTGTCGGAACAGCAAGTGGCAAAAGTGGCACCTTCTTAATCAAACGATCTGCCCCTGGTATGAATTCAGAGTAACATCTGCTGATGTTAGAGACAAAAACAAGATTGTATTGCTTTCACTCCTGTAATCGTGGCTAACACAGATAAGGGGTGAACTGGATTCTATGTATTCTGGCTTGCAATCCTCAACCAGAATTACTTAAAATCTCACCTGCAAAATCTTTATGGGTAGAGATGCAGTGCCTCAGAGGACCCAGCTTGACTCTCAGATTCCAGGTTTAGGTCATGGTGCAGAGACAATAAACACAGAATCCCACAATGGCAATTTTTAAAGTCACTTTTCAGAATAGAACACACTTAAAACAGATGCTAGTCCAGTTACTTATTGGTTGTGAAAACAAAGAGAATCTTTAAACATTCAATATTTTTTCAGTCAGCTACGCACGCCTCCCCTTCTCTGTGTATTTTTCAGTGGCTTGTATTATCACTCACTGTATGTACTGATCTCAGTCTGCATTTATGAGGCCTTTATTGGCTTTCCTTGTTTCTAGGAACTTCACTGGCATCTCACTGTGCTATCCTGTCTAATAACATGCTCATTTAACATGACTTCATCACTGTAATATCTGATCACTTTTCAAACATTTATGGATTCATGTTCACATCCCTCAGGGGACAGAGGAAAATATCATTATCTCCACTTTGCAGATGGAGGGGAAAAAAAATCTCACTAGGGCCCAGATCCTTAGAGGTACTTTAAGCATTACTCTGCTCAGCATTGCAATGTTTGACCTCAAGGTGGCCTGCTGCTCAGTGGAATCTTCAGCCATGAGTTAGGCTCTGTCCCTCCCACTATAATGCACGAGGAAAGAGTTTTGTGTACGGAAGGGATTTTCAGAAGCCGGACGGCTGAGCAGGGAGCTGCCTAAACTAGCCTGGAATGATATGCTGAGGTGAGGGGCAGAGAGAAGAGAGGGGCTTAGGCACCTAAGTGGCTGACTCTGCTTGGGAGCCTCAGCTATGAATCCTCTCCTGGAGCTAGGTGCCTAAGACAGGTCACCTGCTTATGCAGCCCATGCACTAGTAGCTGAAACAGTGGCTGTCTGTCTCACCTATGTTTCCCGGTGCCCTGGGCTGCCTTTTGTGCAGATGCTTTGCTGCACCTCCATGCATCAGTGGCTTCCTTCTCTTGCATGGGGTTGGTAGGAAACAGATGTTAGGTGTGCTCAGAAGTTTAGATTTGTCCACCTATTGATGATGTCCTTTCTTCTGTAAGACTGTTCCATTCTTTGTCTTGATGATTGATGAAATTCGGAGGAGAAATAGTAATAGATGTACTCACCAAGATCTGCAACAAGATCTGGCAGACCTGTGAGTGATTCTCACGTTGACACAGTCACTAATCATCTCTCTGCCAAAGAAAGGCCACCTGCAATTGTGTCAAAATGACCAGACCATAAGCTTAATTGCAAATTCAGCAAAGTGATGTTGAAAGTCATATTGAACAGATTGAAGCCAGAAGCGGATAACATCATTGCTGAAGAACAGGCTGGCTTTCATGCTGGAAGAAGTACCACAGAACAGATTTTCAACCATCGTGTTTTATGTGAGAAGTCCTTACAACACCAGCAGGACATCTACCATGTCTTTGTTGACTTCAAGAAGGCATTTGACAGAGTATGGCACCGAAGCTCTCTGGGCAACCATGAAGAAGTACAATGTTGGTTGTAACCTTATTCTTACCATTAAACAACTGTATGCCAAGGCCAGCAGTGCAGTTCTCGTCAATGGCACAATAGGAGTGTGGTTTCGCACCACTGCTGGAGTCTGGCATGGCTGCTTTCTTTCGCCCACACTGTTCAACATCTACTTGGAGCACATAATGACTGATCCCCTAGAAGATCACATATGCACAGTCAGCACTGGGGGGTGAACAGTCTCAAATCTTCGGTTCGCTGATGACATTGACGGCCTGGTAGGCAGCGAAGATGAACTTGCCAACCTTGTTAAACGATTGGATGAAACCTCCGCAAAATACAGCAGAGAAAACCAAGCTGATGACAAACAAACGTGATGGGATTAGCTCACATATCACTGTCAGTGGACAAGAACTGGAGACAGTGAAACATTTCAAATATTTGGGGGAAATCAACACTGATGAAGGATCCAAAGCAGAAATTCTGGCAAGAATTGCGCAAACAGCAGCAGTGGCAAAGCGAAAGCCAATTTGGAGGAATAAGAACATCTTCCCTGGAATCCAAACTGAAATTGCTGCAAGCATTGGTCATCTCCATTTTTCTGTATGCGTGCGAGACATGGACCCTATGGCAGAACTTGAATGGAAAATACAGGTAGTAGAGATGAAATACTTCCGTAAAATCCTGGGCATCTCCTACTTCAACCATGTCACTAATGAAGGGGTCCGCAACATCATCACTCAACGCGCTGGGTCATCTGAAGACCTCCTTACGACCACGAAGAAGCGCAAGCTGAAGTGGTATAGCCATGTAACAAGATCATCTGGCCTATCCAAGATCATCCTCCAAGGGACAGTACAGGGGAAGAGAAGAAGAGGTAGACAGAAGAAAAGGTGGACTGACAACATAAAAGAGTGGATAGGAATGGACTTCGCGGAGACTCAAGCACTGACACATCTGGGTGGCGCGGATGCCAGACATGCTGCTCTGAGCGGCATGATAAGGGGGCCGGTGCCAGGGGGTTGGATAAGAGGCTGAAGTTCGGGGTGGTGGTCAGGGGATGGGGAATGGGGGGGTGTTGGATAAGCGTGGGAGTCCCAGGGGGCCTGTCAGGGGGCAGGGGTGTGGATAGGAGTCCGGGCAGTCAGGGGACAGGGAGTGGGGGGGGGGATTCCAGGGGGCAGTTAGGGGTAGGGGGTCCTGGGAGTGGACAGCTAGGGGACAAGGAGCAGGGGGGCTTGGATGGGTGAGGGGTTCTGAGAGGGGCAGTTAGGGGTCAGGAAGTGGGAGGGGGCAGATAGGGGGCATGGGCCAGGCTGTTTGGGGAGACACAGCCTTCCCTACCTGGCCCTCCATACAATTTTGCAACCCCAATGTGGCCCTCGGGCCAAAAAGTTTGCCCACCCCTGGCCTAGTCCTTTGCCCCGTGCCTTGGGAAACTCTGCACTGACGCATCTTATGTACTCTTTGTAGGGGGGGAGCAGGGAAGGTGTTTAGAGTGTTTTTCCCCCCTCCAGATATGTATCCTTTTTGGGAGGAGTGAGGTGGAAGGGGAGAGAGCATTAGAGTGAATTCTTATGGTTTTTCCCCTCCAGTTCTGTTATACGTCTAACAAGAAATAAAGCTTTTGCAATCTGAAACCCCCCCGGAATATACTAAACTTACATTATTTATCTACTCTCAGCCCTCTAGTGGCAATACTGAAGAGAGCCACTTTCTTCGTATGGCTAACTCTTACAGACTAAAGGGAGGTACATGAGAAGACTAGAATAATAAAAACATATTACCCTCCCCCCAATACTTCAGCGATGGTTTCTTATCTGTTCTTGTGTTTGCACATGTAACAGCCACAATGTGATCAGTGAGTTTTTTATGCTGTCAGAGACTGAAGGACATAAATTCACACCGTGTAGAGGTCAAGCATAGGAGTTTATTACACACAGCGCTGGCGGAGTGTCACCTTACTTATTAGGCTCAGAGACACTATCAATCAATTGATTACAATAGAATATATAGATTTTCCATGGGCGCGGGAAAGTGACGGGGTAGGCAGTTCCACACCCCGGGATAGGTTTTGCAGCAAGACAAGATAGCACATTAGCCAATGGTTAAAAGGTTATATAATGTCTCTGCCCATGGTCTCAAGTTAGCAAGTTAACATTTAATTAATACTTTGATAAAATGTTATTAGTATAAAATATATGTAAGCAGAGTCAGGATGAGCTCTACCCTGACATCGGGTGGTGAATTATGGCGAGTGTGGAAAAGAACTCCAGGGGCTGATCTTGTTTGCATAGGCACACCCACCCACCTGGCATGAAACAACAGCAACTGAAAGTGGTTACTTTGGCTGGTGTGGGATCCCCAGTTTCTCTGTTGTTGGGGCAGGAAGAATAAAGTTTTGTTACCCTGATTCTGTGAATCAAGGCCAGTGGAACTGTTGTATGACAGAAGGACTAAGTGAGTCCATCACCATTACCTAAGTAGCACTTGCTTGACAAGGGGCATGGGTTACAAAAC